ACACTCCCTCCCGCCTCACCAGGCGGGAGCAGTCATTCGATGATTACTGGGTCTTTTTAGAAAAACTATAGTAGCACATAGTCTGGAAATGTGCCCGGTATATGGCAATTGGCTCACCCCCTATTACATGGGACTCAAAACATAAATAGTGAAAAGTGGGTGTTGTACACTGTACAGTGGCATTAAGTGCCGTAATGTGCACCTTCGCCAATTGTGATTAACCGATTTTCGAAATTCTTTTGAATTTCTGACTAGGCTTAGTTAAATCTATAAAATATACTGTAATAACATATAATAATATAGTTTTTTTTCAATTTGATGGGCCGACGTTTGACCACTATCTCGCCTGGTGGTAAGCGATGATGCGTTCTAGGATGAAGCACGTCGTCCCATAAGCAACCTATTCACTTGGGCCTTGAAGACACACAAGGCGTATTATTTCGTATTTATGACACATGCTGTATATTATACTTAATTAACTTTGTCCGCTTGTCTGAACAATTATCAAATGTGAGAGGTCGAGGTATATGAAAATAATTTGAAGATGATTTCTTAAGAGTTTCCCAAACTTTGTTGTTCACATATAAAGTTGTAGTTTGTTTTCTAAGACGTAGGGAGTAAAATGTTAAAGGTCAAAGATTTCTGTTTGGTAAATATGTAACTTAAGACCTCTTTCAATCTCCTAAGTTTTTAGTTAAAGTGCTTGTACATAATATTTTTGACTAATCCAGTTTCTAGCATTAAGGTTATGAAGTCACTGGTCGCCCTCCTCTGTCCACAACTAATCTTTGCCTTAATGGAACCAAGTGTCAATAGAGACCAAGGGTGCTTACAGAAACATGTCTGTACGGATCGGTACCGATCGGTGCAGATTTCTTCACTTGTAAAGAAATAAGTGCCGGGACGCATAGAACAAAATCCCCCACTAGGAGTTTCTCCTTTGTCTTAGGTGCGTTTACAAATATACAAGTTCAGTATACATACACATGATACCTAGACTTGAAACAAAAATTTGTGGATCACACAAAGAGATGCTCCTTGCGGGAATCGAACCCGCTACACGCTAAGTGGCAGCCAGTAGCCAGCTTACTCAGCCACCGCACTAACCGCTCAGTCAAGATGGACCAAGATTATATTAATTTTAATATAATCTTTTTTTTAATTAGACCTACGATCGGTACCAACCTGTACAGATTTGTTTACCCGCACCGACTAATTTTTTTTACATAAGCTCTCGTATGTTCTAACCAAATACGTATATGAAATTCGAAAACCTAATAATTATAATATTTATTTCTCTCATCCAAAATTCTCAGTTAAAGCAAGAGTACTCATCATTACACGCGCAGTGTTGCCAGTTTTTGTGTATTTACGGTTATGATCATAGACAGTAAAAGTCATGAAATATAAACAAGCCCTACTAACTAATAAAGTTGTAACCTTACATAAAAAGCTAATGATAACTGCACCCTTATCCTGTTCTATCAACAAATCAAGGCAAAAGACCCTTAAAATCAACAAAACTGACCCCTATACTAACAAGACAGAGTTGTGAATAGTTCATCAAAGCTTTAATTCAAAGTTCAGACCAGAGTTCAAAATCCATACTAATATTATAAATGGGAAAGTGTGTGCGTCTATTTGTTTGTCCGTCTTCCGCGGCAAATCGGAGCGACGAATAACAGTCATTTTTTAAGTGGAAATATTTGAAGGGACGGATACTGACATAGGCTATTTTTTTTATCTCTTTATAACCCCCCCCCCCCGCTTACCTAAAATGGAGCATGGCATAATTTTCTAGGTAGATATCTAAAAATTGGTATGCAGACTATTTGAGACTAATAAAAGAATCGTGTCTTTTTTTTGTAAATCTGCCCCCAACTCCTTAATAGACGCTGGGGCCCAGTAGGGCTGATGCCTGATACGGAGCCGCAGAAGACTTATAGTGGTACCGGGACTCCGGCTCTAAGAGTGGGATTAGCAACGCGGTGCTTTATTCTCTCCTAAAATCTGCAAGCAAAGTCGCTGGCAATCGCTAGTGTTCAATATCGCGATGAACGATCACAAAGTCAACTTCGAGGCTCCCACTTGGACATCACTATTTCAAATTAGTACAACTAATACAGAACAAAGTTGCCAAAGGGATTCATAAGCGAAAACTTACTAATTACATTATATACTTGTTTCTTACAAATTATTGAAGATGAGGGCACTGTTTCGGATAAACTTTGGGATTCATAAAGTTTTGTTTAGGAATTCTGTGGTTTGTATTCTGGTTCGTATAACCATAAGTAATATGGTTATGTTTACCTTGTTTTGATTTATAATCTGTTTTTATATTCAGTGCTTGTCAAAGACTTCTATAAAATGCCACTCTAAACTCTATTTTTAACTTTTTAGCTTTCTATTAGGGGTGAAAATCATCCAATGATTTCTCCCGATGGTGAGGCGAGAGGTAGTGTTCTGTCTCTTCGTCTGTACTAGTCTTAGTATTAGTCTCTCACTGACTAAAAAACACTTAGTTCCTACTCCTGTATTTCGACCCACAAACCCGGCAACCCGTTTCTTAGCTTAGTTATTAAGTTTAAATCGATTTTCAACCTTATCGTCCCCACAAAAGGAACGTGATTTAAAAGAAAGATTTAGGGGTATGGTTTATTATGGTTTTGATCATGTCAGAAAGCTGTTGGTTGACTCATATAACTGAACCAACGGAACAATATAACCAAGAATTGTATTGTAAACCTGGTTGAAAAAGAGTAACCTAGAGTTTCTTGTTCGTTTTTCTCCATAGGTATCTACTATATCTACATATTGAAACGAGCAAATAGAGGATTGTCTGAAAAACTGACATTTTCAATTTTTTTTTAATTTTGATGTTTAAAAGTGGTCTAATTGAAATAAATGAACTTGACTTTGACTTTACCATAATGTAATAAAATGTAAAGTTAGGGTACGGAAATTTAGAAAATGTTCAATATAATGTATTGTTGTTATAATTTTGATCAAAGTATCACTGTTTCGTCATTATGAAAGGTCACGACAGGTCACATACTTAGTAGTCTAGACAGCGTCAAATTATTGTCACATTACTGAAAGAGAAACTCATTCGTATTATTATGATAACAAAAGATATTATGCAAAGGTTCCGCAGCAAAAGAAAAATAGATAATCTTGTAAAAGAGGTCGCCCTACTATAATGTGCTGGAAAAATAATACAAAAACATTCTATGGAAAACAATTGAAATCAGATTGAATCAATGCCTCGTGGTCAGTAACCAAATCACTAACCAATTACTCATTATGTTTAAAAATCTGCAAGTAACTATATGACACTACAAAGTTACTATTACACTACTGAGGGAAATAACAATCAATTGGTGTTCGGTGCGTACTCTTGCAGAGATATTATTGAGGTTGGAGCGCGAAGAGAAAAGATTCACTTAGTTAGATTTGGAACGTGTAATTATGTTTACAATAAAACTGTTGACGATTCCTTTCTCTAATGTTAGTCACCGCGTAGCTGTAATCATACAATGTCTTCTCCCGCCTTGAGTGAGGCGGGGGAATCTTACTGACTAAAAGCCATCCCGTTCCTACTCCTGCTCTACGAGCCTGAGGCACGGCAACCCGTTAAGACCTTCGCGGCTCCGTATTGGCATCAGCCCTACTGGGCCCCATTTGTGGTGGTCTGATGGCTCTTTGAGCGCTCGTTATACACTCGGGTCTGGTTCTGGTAGGACGTCGAGATACCTTTGCTCACCGTCCGCAGGCCCGTGCTTACAGACAGAACTATATGACACGATTTAGTTGCGATACCCTGAAAAAAAAAATAAGTTTTCTTCAATAATATAAACAAATTAACTAACACAAAGAATATCAGAATACTTACAAAAATAATAAAGTACAATACAAAATATTCCAATAGTTTGATATTTGTTAACAATACTCTCTATATTCCTTCATAACACAAGTTTGACAAAAGGAACTATAGCAAAAGAATATTGGTAATGTATAAAAGAAGCCCTTGTCTATATTATTAAGAATCCTTCTAACTTTCAAATAAAATATGATACATTGACATGCTCCCACGTTTTTTGAAGAATTGTCCATGGGCGTCGCCGATTGCTTGCCATCAGGTGATCCGTCTGCTAAACGAGCGGTAAACGACCGGCTTCAGTGGTATGTTGCCTACATATAAATCGCATGCAGAATAAACAGGGCTACGAATTGTTTTGAAGTGCGAATTTACACTTCAGCTTCAGTGACAGACAGGATGTATAGCAAAAATAAAAACCGTGCTATTAGGTATACAAAATTATTTGATTTAAAATACAGTGACGAGTCACAAGCAAGTCTAGGTGTGATATGAAAATATTGTATGTTTGTGAACACACTCATTTAATACGGGACGAAATCCAAGTGCGAAGTTTGATAGGTATTCTAAAAGGCGTATGTGGTCTAGTTGGTTTAACCAGACGTTGTAAGGAAACGTGGTTTTTTATTTACGAAAAATAAAAACAAAATATATTATGTTACGCTGGTTTAAACATGTAGAAAGGATGAATGAAAGTAGAGTAACGAATGAAGTATAGAGAGCGGATATGAATGGGGCCGTTGGTGGAGGGCGCCCTAGACGGACATATACTGACAAGATTGGTGGTATATTAAAGAAGGGCCAAATTAAAAGTACCCTTAACCGACGAACATGCATGAAAAACGGCCCATCAAATATAAAAAAGACTGTTGATGAACCGAAAGGTGTATGTGGGAATCGTAGTCATTGGCGTTTCATAGTCTCTTCCTACCCCCATGGGCGTCAGGCGTCAAGTTATGTATGTATATAAAAACCAAATACAAATGTTATTTTTTTATTTTCCGTCAAATGAATGTGATATGACATATTATTTGTATTTTGTTATATGAAGATAACTATTGAGTCATCTTCATGTGACTTCTATGCAGGTTCTCATTCTAAATTCTTAATTCCTCTTCCACAGTGGTGGAACACTCCCGGCCTCGTGTCTGCTCGCTGCCAGAGAAGCCGTACAACCCTCGAGTGTCAGACGACCTGTACCGGCTCCGTACCTTCAGTATCACCACCAAGGGAGGTGTCGTCAACTGCGGGGACTCCATCTGTAACCGCAGAAGTCGGTCCAATACTTCTGTTAATTCTACTAATAGCAGGTAAGATATAAAAAGGTGTGTATATATGTGTGTGTGTAAATATAACGTCAAACTGATAAAAATAAAAGAAATATGTTATTTCATCAGCTTGTGTAGATAACAATACAATTTTAGGAATTACCTTTTACCTTTTACGTAAACAATACAATTTTAGGAATTACCTTTTACCTTTTACGTAAACTTATGCCTGTGGTAATTTAAATATAACCCCGACATTTAGATATTTTTTAAAGATCATACATACGTATTTTTGGAATCTTTTCATACTACGCACTCGAGATTGTACTAAGTAGAAAAAAGGGAATAATATGGTATTGATCTTAAAAGCTTTGATTTGATTTTTTTCATGTTCATTTATGAATTTTTCTATTAACTCGTACCTACTCTTACACAAATAACTAGCCCCGTTAATTGAGTTTATGACAAAACCCGAATAAAATAAAGGTAAAAATTGTCTTCAATATTTATTACACCGAAAATCGTGAGGTTGCGTGCAACAACCAATCATCAGTCACTGCCATCATGTTCCTTATTTATAATGACAGACATTCCATAGATTTACACTGATTGAGTTGTTAACAAATCAGTGTGTCAGTTCAGGGGGCAATCATACATATTATTATTGCCGGAAACATTATTCAAACGACACATATGTAGGTATATATATGTCAAAATGTGTCATAGTCTATCATGTTGTGACATCGTAAAACGTGTGCGTGATTTGTTAAAGCCTGTTATGTAGTACGTATGTCGATTGTAGTGTATTGTATTTTGAGCTTATTGTATTTCACGTATAACTTATATATTCCATTGGTTAAACATTAAACAACTCATAGTAAATCTTGACCTCCGATATGAGATTTCGCTGTTTCCTATAGTTATTGGCAGTTTCAGGCCAAAACTAAATCGAGTCTGACTCAAATCTGTCCAATACAATTTTTCAGTGAAACCTTGGCGCACCTACTGATTGGCATCTATTATTGTTTCATATGCAGGTACATAGCTATTGTGATTTAAAAATTAACATTGCATTTAATATAAAAATTAAATGACATTTTGGTATCCCTTAAAGTCTTTAGTGCCAGACTATAAAAACAAACAATCAACAATAGGGTAATATCCTAAATTTTATTTTAATGTCCGTCTGGTAGATTATTTTAAAACATTAGACACGTATAGTTTCTATTCTCACAAAATTAAATACTTTCGACGATATATTGATTTCAAATATCGTTTGCCGTCACTATTTACTACATTTTATAGGGTGGCGTGATGTAATGACCCTCTCCTAAACATAACTCCGTTTTATCTTTATTAGTATAGTTGTCTTATACGACAAAGTAAAAAAATATGTGTAATATTTTTTCATTATTTAACTGATAGACTAATTACATTTTTAATTTGTATACAGAGTCGACGTTTTTTTTATAGAAGTAGTAGCGACCCGCCCCGGCTTGGCACGGGTGCAATATGCATGTATTATACATATAAACCTTCCTTAAGAATTCTTCTATCTATTAAAAAAAAACGGCATAAAAATCCGTTGCGTAATTTTAAAGATCTAAGCATACATAGGGACAGACAGACGGTGGATAGCGACTTTGTTTTATACTATGTAGTGATGTATATAGAGGTAGGTCGTAGTCGTCAGCAAGACAAACTACTGCAAGGAGCGACCAACAAAGAAAGTGACGCGGTTGGTAGGTAATCAGATTAGTAGAGATTTGTTACTGATTACCGTATTGCGTGACTCTGCTAAGGTTGGCACACTTCTCTTAACCGAAATATTCTTTCTCATGGCCTAATTTATGTGGGACAATGTGACTACATTGTTAAAATGCACTGAATGTGTCAAAAAATAAGTCTTCAAATTTCAAGTGACTAGCTGTCCAAAGGTAGACGTTATACTTAATTTCGATGGCAGTCTTACTAAGGAAAATTTTCCAACAGTACATTTTCAAAATTTCGTCGCGTTCGAAAAACCCTTAATAATTGTATAATGTGTACGTCAAGCGTGTCTTTGCATTGATCTCACATATACGTACAGTATTGGAATATGTATCAGAGACATTGTAAAACATACTTTTTTTTTAAAAGAGTAATGGAGTTTTTTGCTCGTTCTTCTCCATTCGAATTTATATCTTGGCTAGTTTCACCTAACTTCACTGACGGACTGACTGACAGACTATTATTTATTTTGTATTATTTTGTTGACGTTTCAAAAGTACCAAGTTGTGGTTTAATTGAAATAAATGCTTTGACTTTGACTTTGATAAGACAGGTCACTTTCATTCAAATCATATTACATGATGTTCTAGCTGTGCCCACGACTTTGTCCGCGTTGAATATGAATTGTAGAACATAATTTTCTTATGTTTCAATTTTCCAAAATAAAAGAATCCTATGTTTTCTCCTTAGGACATTAACTACCTGCCAATAAAACTCTTGCGAAATCAGTCCAGCTATTCCAGAGATTAGCCAGTACAAACAGACTTTGAGATTTTGTGTATCGTATGTACATTCATATGCATGTAGTAAAAACAGTAAAAAGTAAAAATATTACAAACAGACACAAATTTTATGTACCTATAGATAAATTTGCAATTTCTGACACCCCTAACTCCGACCTACTTCTCGCACCCCTAGTTGATTACCACGGTCACTGAAGCAGTGCGTCTTGTATGACGACTTGTAATGGACTACATTAGTGCGAGCCATTAGCGCACTAATGCTATTGTGTTATGAGCTATATCCGTAAATCAACATAATAAGTGGTGCCTTTTTAGCTGTTCTATGGAGACATTGCCCCTTAGTTTTTGACGGAGGTTAAAAGCGTTTGTAGACGTAGTTAAAATGTTTTAAGGTTTACTAGATAATTGATTGTTTAGGCAGATCCTAGTTGATCAAGTCAGTAGAAGTGTAACTGCCATCTTGCTCGGTCTCAAGTTAGATTTCTGTGTTAGGCAAAAGGCCGATATGTAAGTTCAGACGTGAATATATTATTATGTTTTCTTCGGCTTACTCACGTAATTATTTGACGAGGAACTCGACCAGTTTCAAGCCATACTAGAGGCTCATATTCATGAGCAGTATTGCATAGCGCTGCTACTGTAGCTTATTCTTTCTACTTTCTTTCTAATTCTGACGTGAACTTTGAAATTGAAATCGTCCGGGTAACGAGGTAAAAGTGGGTATTACATTGTATCGCTACCTACCACTTTTTGTCAAAAGCCGTGCCCTTTTTATTACTAGTCTTAGTGCACGGTGGGTGCGAATTCTGCACGGAGCGACTCTTTGTGTGGTCCACAAATTGTTGTATCGTGTCTGGATGTCATATACATGTGAATTTGTATATTTGTAAACGCACCCACGACACAGGAGCAAATCCTAGTGTGGGAATAATCCTCGTGTCCTCGCTGGAAATTACGGAGGTGTTGTAAAGGGCAATATTATTACGACAATATATTTTATAACCATCCGATATATGGAACCTCCCCTTATTAAGGGAGTAACCATATTATAAGGTTATCTGATTTTATGGACATATTGGACGTGTAATATTGGTTTAAGTATATCGAGTGATTGCAAGTAAAAGTAGATTAAGTTTGTAGTATACATAGATAGAATGTATATTAATTATTTTCGACTGCACAGTTAGCACGGTGGCTGGGCAACCGACCGCCGCGCAACGTGTGGCGGCAACATAGCGTGATGCTCGTCAAACTTCCCACCAGAATCGAACATTACTATATTTTGCGCGGGATTTTTTTTAATCTGTCACATTTGACAGATGACATCATGAACATGACCGCTAGAGCTTTCAATAATACAGATTAACCTGTTAAAAATCATACCCTAAATTTGTTCATACAAAAGTAGTCTCTAAACATTGGAAATAAGGACTGTAATAAAGTGGAGAGCGGTCACCGGGGACCGCTCTCCACTAACTATATACACTATTCCCATGTATGTATGAGTAGACTAGTGACGTTCTTTTAGTTGATTTTCGTCGTCCACCAACACTAGATTGAGCAAGATAGTTGTTAGTTTTTGTATTAACATGTAGATTTTAATTTCATCATTAATAGGTACTATGATATCGATGAAAATTATTATTAAAGTACCATCGTAATGAATTGGGTTTGGGTCTCGTTACGCTTCCTTAAGTAATATTTCGGAAACTACTTAATGTCGAATCTCTCTTCAAAATTAGTCTCAAGTTGATTAATGATTATGAAACGACCAGAAATACGGAAACGCACTTGACGAGACCTCTTGGATATAAACCACTTCAAATCAAGACCCCCGATTTGATCCCAAACATTCCTAACACGAAAACTTTCAAAATCTTGGACCCGATAACTCAAAAGTACTCTCTGAGCTTGCAATCTCCATCGCAAATAATAAATTCACACCTGAACGTAATTCCAAATTCAAACTTGCACAATAAACAGGAAGTTCGAAACTCAAACTGAAGCCATTCATTCAATAAGGTGCGAAGTTGTGAAGGTAAGACCGGTCGTGCACTCGTTCATTAGTTCGCCGGTCGCCGGGCATTATTTGGGAGTTCAGGTTTTAGTGAGAGCGGAGCTTAGACTAGCTTCTGTAGGTAACTAAAGGATCTGGACTCTTTAAAGGTGGATAGAAAAGCATACAGAGTGCCTTGTTGGTCATGTAGTTTCATATGTGACTGCTGAGTAAGGAATTTTGGGTTACATTCGCAATTCAGACTGTCCAAAGTACAGAAATCCTTTATGGGGTTAGGTATTAAATGCTATAATAAAATACCAAATAGCATACTAGATCTCAATGAAAGTAAATTTAAAACATATATTAAGCGCGAATTATGTAATCAAGCTTACTACACACTGACAGATTATCGTGAAGATAAGAATGCTTGGCAGCATGTTGGTTCGGCTCCACTGGACAATATTCAAATGTAGTCAGTAGTTAAATTCCAATAGTAGGTAATATAATACATAATTTAATACTTTAATTCT